AACAGAGCACAAAATCTGCTGAGTTTAGATTCTTGGCCACGTATATTAATTATTTATTTATCTATTTTTCAGTTTTGAAGAAATCTATAAGTTTCAAAGACAGATTCTCAGAGTAAAGGACCGTGATGAGTTTCCCATGATTTTAATTGGTAATAAAGCTGACCTGGACCATCAGAGACAGGTGAGAAGGAATTCTGCCACTGGGAATCTGTGTGGATGAAGCGGCGTGTTTACAACAGAGAGCTCCCTGTGCGACCTCAGTTCGCTGATGATCTGGAGCACTACGTCTTAGGACGGTCATGGGGGCTTTTCTCTTCCTCCTTTTTCTTTCTTCTTTTTATGTTTGGTTGCTGTTGTTTTGAGACAAGGTGTCACTGTAGCCAAGGTTGGGTTTGGACACATGGTTTTCTGTCTCAGCCTCGCAAGTGCTGACATCATAGGCCTGTGCTACCATGCTTAGCTTACATTATGTCATCATAAAGTTAAACCCTAAATGCCCAATTTATTCACCTTTAAATAAATTACTTTTATTTAAGGAATGGCTGTAATTTAAATTATAATATGTGGATTTTTTCTTTTTCTTTGAGGTAGTCTTGCTAGCCAGCATAGACTGGCCTGAACCCAGTTTGTAGCCCAAGCTGATCTCCAAAGACAATCCTCCTGCCTTAGTCTCCTGAATGCCTGGATTATAGGCATGCACCATGTCACCCCGCTCTCAAGTTTTCTTAAGTTCAATTAATAAACAACTGAATTTTCTATTAATTCTTCACACTGGCCAACCCTGACACTAGTACCCTGCGATAGGAGTGTTTTTATTACTTTATTTAGTTACAGGATAGTTTATTCCCACTTAACAGTTGTTTATGGAAAATTTTATCATTTAAAAGTTTGGGGTCGGGGAGGAACAAGGTCCGCTGTCAGTTAATGCTGACCCTGCATTGTGAGTTCTTTTGTGTCTGTTCCTTTTAGGTCTTTTAGTCTCTTTCTGGTGTCTAGAAGATTGTTATTTAAACTGTTTCTTTCTTTTTGTTTCTCCTTTGGGGTTTTTCTGGAGGGGTGGTTGAGCCAGGCTCTCACTATGTGATCGAGGCTGGCCTTGAACTCACAGATTGGCCTGCCTCTGCCTCCCGAGTACTGGGGTTAAAGGCCTGTGACAGTATTTTCGGCTCAGATTGTCTCTTCTGCTGATATTTAAACACTCTTGTTTTTATATAACCTCATGTTCAGATTCTTTTTACTTATTGTTTTTGGGTGTGCAAATAAAGTGTGTGTGTGTGTGTGTGTGTGTGTGCGTGTGTGCATGCGTGCATGCACAAGCTATGGGCTGGTGTGTGTGGAGGTCAGGACAACTTTGTGGAGTCAGTTCTCGCCTTCAACCTTTACTGGGATCAACTCGGGTCACCAGGCTTGTGTGGCAAATGCCTGTACTCTCTGAGCCATCTCATCAGGCCTCGGTAACAGATCCTTAAGATCTTGATGGCAAATGCAAACATCAGGAAAACCAATTGATACCCAGCACTGAGGCAGGCGTTTTGTACATAACCACTTAAAGTATGACCTTTGATTTGTGCTGTACTTGTGAAAATTGTTTGGAAGCATACCACATTTAAGACATGAACTTCAGGGAATGATGTAGTCTAAGCAAGGCATCTGTCTTTTGACTTTGTCATATGACAGTGTCATCTACAAATGTACTGGACCACATTCTTAGCTGTCCTGGCATGTGTGTGGCACATGGACCACAGGTAGGATATGCCTGGCCTAATTCTTAAAATATTTTATTTGTTATTTTTATTTTATGTGTATGAGTGTATTGTCTGCCATGTATGTTAGTGCACCCCTGTCGTGCAATGCCGCGGAGGTCAGAAGAGGGCTTCAGATTCCCTTGGAACTGGAGTTAAGGATGGTTTGTAGCTGCCATGTGGGTGCTGGGACTTGAACCCGGGTCCTCTGAAGAGCAGTCAGTGCTCTTAACCCCTGAGCCATTTCTCCAGCCCCAGCCTGGCTTAATTCTAAGGTGCAGAAATGTGCCTTGATCCTACTTAGTGTAAATTCTCTCGGTAGGCCTCTTTAAAATCTGAATTATTACAAAATTATAGTAACAAAGTATGATTTTTCTGTCAAATCAGTGTAAAGAGTGCGGTTTTGGCGCTTTTTTCATTTCCTCGACAGTGTCTGAACTTAACTGCACTTTTCAGATGCTGCCCAGTGGAACCTCTTTTCTAAAAGTCAGCCCTTCTCAGCGCCTTCCAGTCCTCTGAGCTCTCCATACATTGCTGGGTCTGGGAAGGAATGGCAGAGCAGACATGTGTCGAGAAGTGGTAGCTCCAGTATAAGGACAGAAGGGAGAAGTGGCTCTGTAGAGGTCTCTAGGGCAGGTAGTAGCAGATGAGGGACTGGGGGTGGGGTAGTTCCCCCCCCAAGAAACATCAGCTCTCATTATTAGCTTGGGGTGGGGTTGTAATTATTATTATTGTTTGCACATGGCATATGCAGGCATGTGTGTGGAAGTCAGAGACAGCCTTGGAGAATTGGTTCTCTCCTTCCACATTCACAGGAGTTCCAGGGATGGAATTCAGGTCACCAGGCTTGCACAGCAAGCACCTTTACCTGCTGAGCCATTTTGCTGGCCCTGTATGAGTTATTTTAAAGCTATCTGTGTATTAAAGAACACCAGAATGTACCATGTAGTTTCTGTCTGTCTGCAGGTATGTAACATGCGGCACTATTTATGTGTCCTAGGAGTAAGTAAAATATATTCTGTTCTCAATAAAATAGAAAACAGGAGTATGAGAAACAATACAGGAAGTTAAGTTCCGTGTCCGTCACTTTAGACAGGCGTTGCTAGTGTGGAGTTTGTTTTTCTGCCTGGACTGTAGGCTCAGGTATAAATTATGTGTACGTGTCTGAGGGAGCAAAGCAAGCGACCGGAATCTGGTTGCGTAGTGCTGTGCTCATTCAGAGAACCTGCACCCTCCGAATGACAGGCGCAGAGGCAGACCTCTGCACCACGGCCAGGCGTGCCTCCCACTGTGATCACTAACACGGGCTTTCAGAGTGACTGGAAACCCCGCTGCCTTGTTCCAGTCCATTCCTTTCCCACTTGTGTGGGCAGTTGCTCCTGGTTCCTGCCGGGTATTCCACCTGGAACACTTTCTTCCATCTTCACCCTTCACTGAGGGTGTTTGATACCTTCCTAGTTCATTGAGAGATGTCTGCACGCTCCCACCACCGCATTCATCAACCCAGGTGCACATGTGCTCGTGGAGTCTGGCTTCTCGCACTTACCTGGACAGACCTCCTCTGTCTAGAGCCAGCTTCTCCAGGCACTGAGACCCATTGCTTCCCCAGCTGTGGGCATCAGAGCACTTGTTCCACCTGGGCCCCATGTGGTCATTCCCATCAACATGAGACACGTGCTGCAGTGTCTTTAAAGTCAGTGATGGCCGCAGTAGCTTTCCCGTTTTCCTCCTCTCCTTCACAAACTGCCGCTGCCATTATGACATCATGCATTCCGTGCCACATGCAGGTCTCCATGCAGATGTCAGTGATGTTTGACACAGCTGATTGCTCTATTCTTTAGTATGTGTGTATGTCTGCAAGTGCATGTGTGTGAACATGCACGGGAAGGCTGGAAAACAGCTTCAGCCCTTAGTTCCTTAGATGGCATCACCCTGTTTTTAAAAAAATGTTTATTATTTTTATTTTATGTGTGTGAGTGTGTTGCCTGCATGTGTGTGAGTGCACCTGTGTTATGCAGTATCCACAGAAGGCAGAAGAGGGTGTTGGATTCCCTGAAACTGGAGTTGTGGATGGTTGTGTCGAGTGGGTGCTGGGAATTAGGTTCAGGTCCTCTGCAAGAGCAGCCAGTGCTCTTAACTGCTGAGTCATCTCTCCAGCCCCTTACCTTGCTTTTTTGAGAACAAGTTTTGCTTCTAAAAAGTTTATTAACTTTACGTATTCCCAAGTGAGTGTTGCAAATGTAGTTTGTTGCTGTTAAACCCAGTTTGTTTAGATGAAATGACTTTTTCATTTTTGTTTTGTTCTTCTGTCTTTGGGGATTCTTAGACGTAATAAGCTCATGTTCTTATGGACTTGTGCTAATACTAAGTTGTATCTTTGAATTGAGTATAAACCTAGGTCTGTGAATCTGATGCACCAGATTCACTTTGGATATTTAAACCAATTCTGGATAGAGCTCTAACCTTTAATCCAGAATATCCAGGGGAGATGGCCCAGTAGTTGCTATCTTTATAAAGTTCCATGAGTTGAGGAAGCTCTAGGAAATACTTACAGGTAGCTTCCAGTCTTCTGATTCCTGGCGTCCTGGTGCTGTTGTTTTGCTGGTGTGCTGTTCTTTCTGACTCCTTTGGTGGTAGCATGCTATTTGTGTTTCTTAGTTAAAAGCACGCTATGCCAGTGAGTGCAAACACAGCTCTATATGTGGTTAGAGATCTCTTGACCAGAAATGTGTGTACAAAGTCTGCTGACCTTGATTCCTGGAAGACAGTGCTGTGAATCTAGGCTTTAAAAATGAAAATGTGAAGGGGCGCCTAAGCTGATGTGAAGGCGGTGAATACGTGGAGTAGTGTCTAAGAACTTGGGGGAATGAGCAAAAATTACAATGCGATACAGCGGGTTTGTCAGTCGTGACCATAGAGCGTGACAGGAGCTGTGTTGGAGCACTTAAACACAGCAGCAGCACAGGGAGGAACTTCAGTTACCCCATCTTGAGAGGTTGGTAGGAGATTGAGTGCAGGGTTAAGGGCTGGGGGTTGGCTTCGCTTAGAGGGCCAAGTGCTTGTGGCACAAGCATGAGGACATGTGTTCAATCCTGAACACCTACATAAAAGCCAGGTGTGGCTGTGTGCATCTGTAACCCTGTCACTGGTGGATGCTGGCCAATACATGCAAAACAGCGAGCTCCAGGGTCAGTGAGGGCTGTGTCATTGAATAAAGCAGGGAGCGACAGAAGAAGACACCTAACGTTGACCTTGGCCTCTACATGCACATGCACACACATGTATACACACAGAGGGTTAAGAAAGAGAATCACATTCCAGGAAGAAGAAACAGAATTTGTGACCACATGGAGTTATTTTCTTATAGGAAGGAATGTATCATGTCTGATTTTTCTCAGAATAGATACCGTTCTTCCTAACTTGGTGGGTCTGCAAAGCC